GCACCATTTATTAAGTACTCAGATATGATTTGAAACAAGATTATATCCCAAAGACGACAAATKGTTCATGACATTTCATTCATAAATATTTTTATGTATAGATATGCATTTTGACAACTGCACATTTACCAAAAATTGAAGAAACGTTGTCACTGTAAAATGATAGAAAAATCTTGCACAGGGGTATGAGAGCTTTTGATTTTTCACTAGTACTCTAGCCTGCATAGCGGCTCTATATGATTACATTTTGAAAGAGGCAACGCTTCTTCGATTTGGTGTATTTTGGCATGGTTATTTTAGGGATAATATGAAATATCACTCTTGAAAAAGAGCAATTTATCTCGAGCACATTTGCCACGTTCCCATGGTAACCCTATTTTTAACGTATTACGGTAGTCATGACAACATTAAATTCCCTCAGTTTATGACAAAAATTGCTGCCTGGTGAAGTAAATATTGTAGACCAACCTTAGTGTTTGTATTTTTCTAAAAGGTTTTAAGAGAGAATGGGGAATCACGACTGAAAGGAAATATGGGTAATGAATGTTGATCAAGTTATTCTTTAAAACTTCGGGGACATTTGTGTGTTTTTCTASTTCTCCAGTCCGGCTGATGGATTATATATCGTCTATAAACTTAAGCACACAATCTTCGTTACCACGTCCCTTGTACATCATTTAAAAGGGCTTTAGAGTGAGGATGATGCCCACAGTGCCTTTCGGTCATGCATTCTCTCTGACGACTCCCTATTTCGAAGAAACTCAGTTGCGTCCATTGCAGTGTGATATCGCTTTTTCCGGTGAATATCGATTACGAAGTTGAATTGTTATATCATTCGGAACGGGCTTCAAGCCCATAAATGTGACAATTGAATTAATCTAATAGGACTAACAAGAGGGTCTCAATGGGGTTAACCGTGAGCCGTGAAACGGCTAAAAAAATTAGCCGTGAATCGTAAAAATGAGAAAAATTAGCCGTGAAACGGCTGAAAAATTAGCCGTGAGTCGTGGAAATGTGAAAAAAATTAGCCGTGAGGCGTGAAAAAGCCAAATTTTTAGCCGTGAGTCGTGATGCGGACCCCCCCATTGAGACCCTCTAACAATATAACAACTGCCCTCCCCACCCATTCAAAAATAACTGATCTTAAATAACTTTCTTGGCTTTTAAATATTTAAACAAAATCTCCCCTATTTTTTGACCCCAAGTTCTTCGTCTATTGTCCCTCCATATTTTTTAGTTTTATTATTCACAGCATCAGTGATTGCACGTTTTGTCGACGCCCACTGGCACGCCCTCCACGGCGCCATTACTGTATGCTCGTAGATGTCTGTCACTAGGTTAGCATAGCAACCATCACGTGGGCAGCAAAGAAGAACTGTGAAAAGAAGCCAGTTTGGTAACTTTAGTGTTTAAAAGCGTAAAATCGTGTAAATTACTTCGCGCAACATATTATTAAAGTTNCTTTTTATTTAATGTATTTCAAAGTATTTCATTGAAAATCATATCCTCACTTCAAGCATGTTCTCACAGTATATTGTATATTTCGTACCCCTAGAGACAGTTGTCTTTTATATTTGGAAGTCACGCCGGAATCGAACCGACTCATCCTTTTAAAAAAGGATGCACCATTTGACTTTTTTTTTCCACTTTAAGACAAGTTCTAGGGTACCTCAGACTTTACTACCTAGGACTTTACTTCTACTATTAATAACACTACTTTACTACCTAGGACTTTACTTCTACTATTAATAACACTACATATTAATCATTAATATCTATCTATCTATATGTATCTATATATATATTTTGAAAAGTTAAAGTTAGTGGTGCTTGAAGTTGGAGTAGCTTGCGTCAGTAGCAGTGGGAGCAAMAGTGGTGGTGGTACTAGAAGCGGCAGTRGTTGTRACCATAATTAATATTAACTATGTTGTGACAGGACTGCTTGTGGTAGTGACAGCAGCAAGCTGACCATTGGAATTGAGGCTTAGTTGACGTCCCAGCTAAATCAAAGAACGAAAGAATATGTATGCATCATTAGAATAATGTCGAATGCAACAGTAGTTGAACTTACGCTAGTCTGGAAACAATAGTGGATGAAATAAGAAATAGTGACTATTCTGTCTGCAATAAGATAACATGTGAATTAACATGGCATGTGACTCACTTGCTKCTGATGAAGAGAAGCAATTCTRTCATTCTTTGCCTCATTACTGAATTCCATCGCAAGACGCTGGACAAAGATGGCATTGTTTGCTGACATTTGTGTAGTGAAGTAGTTTTTCTTGTTCATCACGCTGTTGATGTGTTCCATCACTTCAGTACAAACCCAGCCTTSTAATTGCTTAACACACCGAGTGCGTCTGAGGAGATCATTCTCGTTAGAGGAATTCTCTTCGTGAAATGTGTCGAAAAGACAAAAGTACTGGGAGCTKCCAGTGTTGGGGTGGCATCTGCGGTCWTTGGTGGACGTCGCTGAGCTGTTTTGTCCCCTTGTGGCACAGGCAACCCATGGCATATCCAACGAAATATCACCYCTTTTGGCGAGAGAGATATTCTCAGGTGTGGGAGGGAGTACACGACCTGCATTTGGGGTAAACATATCGTGGAAACGCTTATTGCCATGTGCTGCAACTTGATTTGCAAAGTCCACAATGACAAAATTTGGTTGATAGGCAAGGCTCTTAATGAGATCAACATGATCCCTTGCACCTTCCTGTCTGATAAGCCATTTCATGCCGTAGCAAATTCCATGCTGACACGCTGCTCCAAGCCAACCACCTGAAAACATAATCAACAGTATCCAAGTTAGGACTTGAATATATGAAGAAGGGTCCCCCAGTTGAACGGCCTAATTTATTTTGCTTRTGTCCTTAAGAAAAATAAAATAAAAATAAACTTCTACATATTGTACATAATTTATTTGCAAAATCCTATGTAGACATTCACCAAATTCCAGTGCACTTGTGTGTAAACATGGAATAAGGTCATTAATAGGAGATTCCTTTTACCATTGATTGAAAACTCGTGATCAAACTAAATCTCACCTGATCCTCCCCAAAACTTTGAGAAAACTTTAACAAACTCTGAAGGAATTTCAAGATGTGCTTTAAGTTTCTTGATGATATCAAGTTTGGCATCCTTTGATTTATACGGGATTTTCAATTTTTCACAAAGTTCTTTCAGGACTTTCACCTGTAAACATGACAAACAGTCTAAAGCAAGTMATCTTATGAAACATATCTTTTGTATGGTTGGGTAAATAACATTGGTATGCATATAATGACATTTAATTGATTTGATCAAAAAATGAAGCATCGATATTCAGTTTTCACTGTAGAAATACAACAAATAAACTTACGCTTCCTTGCTCCAAAACTTCCATCACATCCTCTAGATTCATTTTACGGCGAGTACCGAATTCTGCYTCGTCAAGATCATGATGGCACTTCTTGTACTCACTGTTCAGGAGTTTGGAGCCCTTCCGAGAAAACCGTCCAATCCATGGTGCCCAAAATTTATATGATGGCTTAACAATAAAGGGATTCTGTGCRTCGGAAAATCCTAGAAAATACATGAACACAATTTTAAATAAATTCCAATGTATTTCTGACCTTTCAACTTTCAAATTGTAATGGTAAATGATTTTCTAGTCATCTCTCATTGAAACAACTACAAAAGACATTGTAAAATTAGAAATCATTGACTGGATGAGCTAAAGATATACCTGAGTGAGAGAAACCCCTGAAGATCATTGACAAATGAACACAGTCCCAGAATGAATCAGCATCTACTTCACCACCCTCTTCACTATCTTCAGGCATGTCAAGCTCACTTGCTGAAAGTTTAAACAATGTGTCAAAATGAAGTAATTGATAAGCAGAATGAACAAAGCAGATTACTTAGCTACTTTCAATTACTATTTTCACTCCATTTACCTGCCAAATCAAACATGCCCTTTTTATCAGCATCAGTGACAAGGAGGTATGGATTGTGACCACAAAGAACACAAAAATAATTGTATTGGTGATTACACAGAGATTCATAGTGCAGGTAGGCATTACGCACAACTGATGCAGGAATAGATTCCATCCCTAGCCACCCTTTTACTGCCTCACAAACACGACTAAATGCAGTGTGAACCTGAAAGAGACAAACTTCCATGTTATTTGAAATTTCATTTCACGGCTACTGTAGATATTACTTTATGGTACAATAATTTGATATTATATGCTACTAATGCTATCATCCTGTATGGAAATATTCACAATTGCATGCATTACAACAAATAAGTGCAGATAAGTCTAGTTAGTAACAAATAAAAAGTAATATAAATAAATATCATGAATATCTAACAATTTAACAACATACAAATCAATCATTGATACAAAAAAAAAACATCAAAAGAGAGTAAGTGATACACACACCTTGAAAAACTGGCGTACAAGATCCATGAAYCCCAGGCTAAAAAACCAGAAGTCATTGAAATTGTGGACTCCTTCCTGCCACTCTTGATAGCGATAAGGCATTTGGCATACAGGACAGAATTTCACACATATTTCAATTCCTACAAAAAGCAATGAAATTTRAACACATGCTTTTATCTTGACACACAATTTTTATACTTAATATAAACATCTTTGGTGRCCCAGACCTGTAATAAGTCCAGCAGGAGTTGTTGTCAATATCTTTCCAGTTYGGGTCACCACATACGGTTCACTTAGYGGAGGACTGTCGGGACATACTGCACAATGCGTCTCATAAGGAACAAACCTTCAAATAACAATCATTTAATATTAACAACAGAAAATTGAATATTACAAAATTGAACACTGAAAGCAATAAAATAATATGATATAAAAATCCTGGATAAGGATATTTTCCTGAATTGGATTTTCATGATGGTTACTCACTCACCTCTTGGGAAAAGAAGATGCACCTGACTTAAGTGTCAAAGGTATATCCAGAGGAATCTTTTTATTTGCGTGGATGTAACGTGWCATTGTCTGAGAAATGACTGTGTCAGGTGGGTAYTGCCTTGAAATCGGTAAGGAAGAGTTGMTACCCAGGSTWAGATCATATTTATTATCTTCATCTCCATCTTCATCTCCATCTCCATCACAGGTACCATCATGCTCTGTCTCATCAGGGTTACACTCATCACTGTCTGCCTCTTGAAGTGAGCTCTGGAGGTTGTCAGGGAACTGGTTGGTCTCTGCCATGTACCACTTGACTATCGTCTTATGAATGCATGACTGTGACCCTTTCACATGTTTACAATACCAGATGTTRTTTTCACGGTCAAAAGTCACACACACTCTTCCACTAAACGACCACCACTTCTTTCCGGAACCTCYATCCCATACACTGAAATTCAGGTATCTAGAAGAATTGTAACTATTGCCAATGAGCTGGACAATMATTGGTACACCAGCAGTGGCTGCAGCAGCTTGGAATCTCTGGCATTCTTCAGCCCTACTAGGTCTCAGTAATAGCTTGCTAATGAGAAATTGAAKACTCTGTCTSGAAAGCTGTTTTGGGGAAGGCACACATTTTGAAAGGAAAGGAACCGATTGGAGGTGTTTGCAAATGAATCCTTGCATTCCACTCCTGGAGGCTGTGTTCATAACCTCTTGACAGGAATTCACCTGACATGCCATGACTGGTGGATTGCCATTTGGACAGTACTGAACATGTGAGCAGAAACTTGCCCCACTCCTGTTTCTTCTCACCAAGTAAATGCTATTCTTCTCATCGACACAGACGCCTTCATGACATGAGCTGGATGTTATTGATTGAGTATTTGATGTACTATATGCCATTGCTGGRCTATGTTGCTTGTCAATATGGACCTATATGTACATTCACATTTAATRCGGATCATTTGTTAATATGTCATTTCATTGACGACTGAAATTAAAACAAATGTTGTCAAATAGTCCTMATCAAATAACCATATTTCGATAGCATCCATGACTGACAAAAAAATATATTTCCTACAACTTTATATTAATCCCAGAAAATAAGAACAATCTTGTGACTGTAGTGTGAACTTTTRTTTAACACAGAAGTTAAACCAATCAGATAATCCATGTACATTTAAAATTGTGATAAAAAAATCAGTTTTTCAATTTTCAGACGATTATGCAATATGCTAGATTATCAATTTAGAAACCAACCTTAAGAGAATGTGGGTGAAACTCCCTAGCGCAGTATGGGCAAGGAACACGACCTGTGGATGGTCTTGAAAATTCGGTAGCAGTTGGAGCAACATTGTGCATAGTAACCTCGAGCCAGCNTTTTTGACCCCAAGTTCTTCGTCTATTGTCCCTCCATATTTTTTAGTTTTATTATTCACAGCATCAGTGATTGCACGTTTTGTCGACGCCCACTGGCACGCCCTCCACGGCGCCATTACTGTATGCTCGTAGATGTCTGTCACTAGGTTAGCATAGCAACCATCACGTGGGCAGCAAAGAAGAACTGTGAAAAGAAGCCAGTTTGGTAACTTTAGTGTTTAAAAGCGTAAAATCGTGTAAATTACTTCGCGCAACATATTATTAAAGTTGGGTGCATTTGTTGCTCAAATGCCAAAATTAGATCGTTGATTAGATGCGCTCGGCCAAAAATGCATACTTTGATTGACAAGCTGGATGTCAGTTCATATAAATCAAGAAACTTTGTTTTTCCCTAGGTTGAACTGCAACAGTTGAACTACAAGAAAAATACGTATCGATTCTCTGTGACTCTGAGTGTCGTGCTTATTACAGTGAATCATGCGTGTTTCCTTGTAATTCACTTATTGTATGCCGTTTTGCTTTGCACTTATGTATGTTGGGGAATGTTCAATCGAGTCAGCTCCAAATCCACTCAGCTAAAGTCTAACCCAGAGACTGTCACAAGATAATAAGTTAGACGTTTTAATTTTTCATATTCCATTATTGCATTTACTTACATGGGATCATAAGTAGCCATAAGACGACACCCATYAGGCAAATTAGCAAAAAGAAAGGCATTAGAAGTATGGATAGAAGAAACCGCTGGCATGAATACTCGCTGTCCTTTTCGTCATCGTTATTGTCCATAAGAGGATGCCGGGAAGGTGACCCAGATGGAGATTTACTTTTCGAGCCTAAAACATCMAAATTGTTCGGATTAGTTCTAACTCAAGGCCTTTGTTGCCACTGAGTCCCACCCTAATCCTTTGAATAAACATCCGAAGGGTACAATGTAAGAGAATACATTTATACTGGCGTGCACATAAAACTAAAAGTGGCTTGGGTTTAAATCTGTGTTACAACATACGATGATGTCAAAAATGTGACCAGAAAATATCWAGAAATTTTGCTCCTGATTGTTCATGCAGATTTCTCTCTTGAAATGACGACTCATCAAATATTCATCACCGCAAAATGACCATGCAGCTAGCAGATAGTTCTTCCGTCTCGAAATATACAGGAAAGGATATCGGATCCGATAAAAGAAATAACGTTTGCAAGTCTTTTAAGACCGAAAAGAGATTAAGTGATAACAGCGTCAGTGTTTTCGTAAACTCGAATATCTTTAAAATCTAAGGTGTAAGTAAATTTCCTCGTTTATTACTGACAATTTGCGAATAAACTGTTTTCATGACAGACACACCGGTTTTCATTTCTATAGTTCCCAATGTGATTTTGATATCACCTCGGACCTTATCGCTGCAAAAGTATCTACGCAACAAAATACTTACCATCGTTGTCTTTTCCTTCCTTTTTTATYATCTTTTCAGACTCCATGTCGCTAAAAATCTTAGTTTATATACTGTTGTACACATAGACCTCAAAACAGAACGGAATGTGCTGCACTGTAAGTGTTATTTGTTAGAATTTGGATGCAGACAGCGTTGTCTGGTATGGCGTGCGAACGCGAGCTGTGGCACACTTGTCGCTCACCAAAACCATTACGATTGTTTTATTTGCGAAAAGTGATTGGTTGAAATACACTTGTATAAAATATTGAACAMAGTGATCGAATATTGACATGTGTCTGGCGTTCAGTGTGATGCACAATTGACAGTAAGCGACGAGTAAGTCCTAAATTTAGGAAAAAATCGCGCGCTTAAAAGGTTGTAAATTTGATGCAAATATGATGTAATTGTCCAAAATTCTGTAAATTTAATGGAAATCATTTACATCAAATTTACAGAATTTTGGACACTTACGTCATATTTACATCAAATTTACAACCTTTAAAGCGCGCGCTTTTTTCCAGCTAGCTAAAATCTGTCAAAAACCTGAGAAAAATTTATGATATCTTGGAGAGAGGATATACGCTTTTCTGATGTAAATAACTTCAGGATACGTTATAATTTCATAGATAGCTTAATTTAATTCCAAAAATTCCCCTAAAAGGCTGAAGGATTCAGATGAGACGGACATTGCATCATAGCTATGAATACCTAAGTTCAATATTTATCATCGACTTTGTAGCTATGGTTTTCATCTCCCTTTCCCAAGCTCCCCGCTCCCCTTCCCCTCCCCCTTAGAAAGGAAGAGAAAGCTTACGAGTGGTTTTCCGCAAAATCTATAATATTGCTTTCTCCAAAAATCCTTTTTTCCGATTCCTAAAATCATTATTTACGGGTTTTTTTTTAACACAAAGTAGAGTTGGACGTGAATCACAACTATTATTATTTTTTGTATGTTACACTTTAGAATTGAATCGAAAAATCAAGTGCACCCTCGAGCAGTTGTATAAATAATGCAATCGATGATTTCAAAATAGAGGCTTTTAGGCAGCTGCTCAGTGCACGGCATRAAAAAGTATTTGCTAGAGCTACAAGTATGATATTAAGAAATATTGGTCAAGGCTGAATGATATGATATGATATGAAGCATATTATTTGAGGCTGGTTATATGATATGGCAGAAGAATTATATTGAATGAGCCAGAGTATGATATGAAGAATTATTGGTTGAGGCTGAGTGTGATATGAACGGAATTATCCGACATTACTCGATGCAAACGCGTCGGTTGAGGTCCCCTCAATGCACATAATTCTTCATATCAATCATACAATAAACGAATCAAACTAAATAAATTGTTTTATTATTTCAAATTTCATGTAACCGAAACGTTTCACGTATGAATGATCTGAGCAATTGCTGCACGCTTCCTTCAAGATATGGAGAATTTGTTGGTACATCTTAGCCAATCAAAAACGATTACTGAATAATACATAGGAGTATAGGTAGAKCTGGGCAGATAATTTTTGTTGGAAATGCATGATATAATTAATGAATGAGTCTGATAACAGAAAAGGTTAAAGACAGCCTTCATATAATAGCTGTGCATTACTTCTCTCCTATCATTTTATTAAATCATATGAAAAACCTATTCTTTTTTAGGCTTTAAATCAAAGTAAATGTTTATGCAGCAACTTTAGTACACATTGAAAAACAGGGTTTTATAAGGAGTTTTAATAGAAGGGAAAACGTTTTGAAGGCAAATCACCATATATGCAGACTTCCGTAATCTAATGAACGAATAGCTATGTACCCTTAGTTTTGGAATGTATTGTATATATTTGCTAAGACAAAATCAATGATAAACCACTCCCCAGCTGAACAGGTCATTTGACAGCTCTACACTTATCATCCGCATACCCGAATACGTTTTGAGAGTTTTGAGCTAGCCATAAACATAATATTCAAATTATAAAATTACTTATGTCTCAAAGTGCAAAACCTTTGTTGTTATTAGCTTATTATAAATAAATAAGTCCCAGTTATTATTTTCGCGCGCTAATTCACCCAATTTTTACCGTTGTTTATTYGATAATTATATCACATGCAGAAAGTCTTCGGCGGTTAGCGAAATGCGAAAATCTGATTAACAATATCACTATATAAATGATTAGACAATGTAACTGCAATTCAAAACAGTTCCAGATTTGACAAAGAATTRTTCTTACCTTGATTTTTATATCCCGCTGACTTAGCAGCTTGGTGAGATTCGTTTTTTAATAGTTCCTCCCTTTCAAGCGAACCCAAAAATGCCCTCGACACCTCAAGTGAACTCTCGCCGCCGTGACTTGAAAACGACCTYAAACTCCCACTCCTCGTGTCCTCGGGAATTGCTTCTTGCTCATTGAAATCCAACATGGATCTATACGTAGGCATATCTAAGTTGATTTTGGTAATGGGGGTCGGTGGTCTAACTARCTCGTACTCTTGCTTTAATTTCTCGACCGCGCCTTCGAGTAAACGTTGTTGGCCGACTGGAAGCCCTAATAGCGCTATGTCATCTTGCTTTAAAGCCAAGACAGCTGGAATACAGTCTATTTCATGTTCTTTCACCATAATATCAATTGTACTTTCTCTTAAGAATGAATCCTTCGCCCAAGCGTGAAATACCTCCAGACTTTGTAGCGTTCCATGGCGTTTCAGTTTTCCCGGTCGATCTTCAAGCTCGTGCGAGATAGATTCGGCAGAAGTCGTACGTTCTTTTACCTTTGATGACGAAAACATYTCTTCTTCTCAAAATCACAGTAAATTGAACTTTTCAGTCCAAATCTMTACWCAAAAGAATCATCTTTTCATTTCTGTGTCTYTTTTTWWWAA